AGCCCCCAGCCGGGGACCCCCCCCACCTCAGAGCCAGGGTTGGCTTCCAGCCCTCCTTGCCCCCGCTCTAACCACTAGCCCCCACTCCTCCTTCAGTTGTTCACCAGTCCCGTGATCCCCTCCAATGCCTGGCATCACCCCCTCTGCCCCCAGTCACACGCGGGAGTCGGTCTCCATCTCTCTCTCTGCTTTTTCCCTCCCTCTCTGCTCCCCTCCTCGCCTGGGATCCCGCCGGCCCCAGGAGGAAGCGAAAGGCCAGGTAATGTTGGCCTGGGCAGGCGCCGGGTGGGGGGGTCGCTCGGGAGCTGCTGTGGGCTCACACGGCGGCTCCGGGGCTGAGCCGTTCTGCAGCTCCACTGAGCCGTGGCCACCCCATGGCCCAGCAGTCTCGCTCCGGGCTCGCTTGCCCTCTGGCCGCGTGGCTGGCTCGTTGCCTCAGCGCATCGTTTGCCCCGGGCACTGAGGTCGTGGGTCTCTCACCAGGCTTCGTGGCTTGGCAGCCATGGCTGCCCTCTCTCGCTCAGAGATACGTGGTTCTCATCTGTGGCCAGCTCCGCAGCCCAGTGCTAGCTCCCTGAGTCGCTCACTGTGTGGCCCCCTAAATTGCTCATGCTGTCTCGTTTTGGGGCTCGGGTGGCTTCACGGCCGGTTTATTCCGTGGCCAGCTCACTCCCTGGCTTGGTAGCCTGTGGCTTGGCAGCCATGGCTGCCCTCTCTCGCTCAGAGATACGTGGTTCTCATCTGTGGCCAGCTCCGCAGCCCAGTGCTAGCTCCCTGAGTCGCTCACTGTGTGGCCCCCTAAATTGCTCATGCTGTCTCGTTTTGGGGCTCGGGTGGCTTCACGGCCGGTTTATTCCGTGGCCAGCTCACTCCCTGGCTTGGTAGCCTGCTTGCTTTGAGGCTCGGTGGCCTGCTCAATTGGTGGTCAGCTCACTTGGTGGCATGCTCATTCCGTGGCTGGCTCGCTCCGTGGCTCAGTGGCCTGCTCGCTCCATGGCTCAGTGGTCGGCTTGCTCTGTGTCTCGGTGGCTTACTTGCTCTGTGGCTTGCTCGCTCCGTGGCTCAGTGACCA